CGCCGTGGCCCGGGTGGGCGCGCTAGGAAAAGTGTCAGCCACGCTTGTTTCCTGAGTGCAGGGGCAAAACCTCTTAGGACACTTCAAGTGGACTGAACGAAGGCGAAACGTTTAAGCTAGTGTAGCTTGGCCCACCACACACAGCGCGTCTATCCGGCAGGACTTTCCCGCACCCCATTAATGATTTATGAGTTGAACACACATGGGAAGCAAATAGTACTTAGGTAGCACCTACCTATACGTGCGTCATAGTGCTTCCTGCACGCGAGTACGAAGGGACAGGGCCAGTGTTCTGGTGTGACAGAGGGGTTTGTCAGCTTGTGGTTAAGTCAAGATAAACAGCAGTGATCACATGATATTGTACTTTCTCTGTTTACTTATCTGGAGAGTAAATAGTCTGAATCTTTCAGAGCTGCACTTGTATCTATTACTTCTTACGCGATCAGTGTTTATTGACTTAAAAGTAAAAGACTGAAGTGGGGCCCAGGCCCCATTAGATAACATTCTTGAGGATATGATTTGGAAGAGGGAGAGTCCATTCAGTGCGACCCTATGTCACACTTTCCCAGTAGCAATTTTAGATCAGATTTGATGTCATAGTTAATTTGTGTCGAATTTAATAAAGCCTTAGATCAGCAGCAGATAGACTCTGGAATCTCCTGGTGACACTTTAAACGAAGTGGAATATATAAGAGTCTGGACTCAAACTCAAGATCGTCCAGGTACGACTCAGTACTCACCAAAGCCAATTACTTCACTTTTAAATCCTGTACAGTCAGGATAATGTTGAACAGAGAGTAAGATAAACTGGTGGGTTTCCGGTGGCCAGAGTTCCCCAACCAAACCCCACAACAGAGGAAAGTATTTGCTGGTCAAGGAGAAAGACAAGAAGGAGAAGGAAAAAAGCAAACAACGGAAACTGAAGCAACAGACTTCATCAGTGCTCGATTCAGCATGAAGTCGAAAGCCCACTAGAAAGAAAAGGTGACAGAGCCCCAAAACGACCTCATCCGTCTCTCGTCGAGACTCCCTCCCCCGGGCTTGCATCCGACTCCCTTTAGTAAGTCCCTAACTTCTTTGCATCACTGAATTTCTGTACTTCCTTACTGATGGCCCGGCAGCTTGACTCACTCTTCCAGGTGGCGCTTCCAGAACTCGTTTTTGTGGACCGCCCCGTGGTGGAACTGAAAGCCTCGACGCCATCACACTAGCCGGCACTTGCTGTGACGCGGGTCATTCACGCCTGCTCTGTGAGCCTGCTTCCGAGGTACACAATGACAAGGTCAGGTCGCTCTTTGTCTTGGATGCTCAAGTCGAGCGTCCTCTCCTTCCCTGCTGTACTTTGCCCTTTGGGTTCCTGTCCCCCTCTCTCCTTCTTTCTTTT